AACATCACACAGAATCCCAACCTTTCCCTTTGACCAAAGTTTTATTGCTAATTGTTTGGTTTTGTGTGGATTTTAATAAAGAGGTTAATTAATCCAGGGGAAAAAAGTCAGACCAAACTAATTGATCTTTTGGGATAATGCAAATGATCCATGGGCATATCATGGGTACTCTCTGTTTTCTCAAGCATGATAGATGGTATGCCTGGAGTTGCAGATGAGTCTAAGTCAGTTATGCCCTTTGGGATCAAGAAGGCACCTGCCACAGTTATGTATGAATATAGGACTTGATATTTTGCTCCAATGATTGAATTCATTTCCCCTTTTTATATCAAGCTCACATGCCTCCTAATCTCCAGATGACAGAGTATTTTAAAACTTTGTTAATTCTTCGGTAAACATGTTAATTGGACAATGATGCAATTCTTACTTGACAATTCTCCAACCAATAATCAACTAGATGCCCTTACTGTGAGAAGTGTCTTATATTTTTGGATCATATAAAGTTTTTTTCTATACAAAGCATACTACTTAAATATTATACTTTATAAATGGAGATGTTTAATATGTCTCCATCTCCTTGGTTTAATTATTACTTAGAACTTGTGTTTAATAATCATATTTAGTACATTAACATCATAAATGCTATTAATCATTCATAGGTGAATCTAGATAAGAATTCTAGCTTTTACATGATAATAGTAGAGGCAATGCTGATATTGTTCCAATTATTCAAATCAGCTGGCACTTTGCCAATGATTTCCCTAAGTGTTAAAGATAATTCCAAAAGATATCTTGACAGAGTTGACCCCTTGAGATGTTTGTTCCCATAATATAACAGAATTTTAAATAATCACTCTGATAAAATTCTTTGTAGGGCAGCCAGGGTGTTATTATGACACTAATAACTGTCCTTGTGTGCAATCTTCATTCCTTCTGAAATCATTTGTTTGCTGTCATTAAGAGATGGTTTACATGTTATCCCAGCTTCTATTAACAGCTCACATTTCACAGTGTCTTGGACTAGACACTCAATAAATATTTATTGAATCAAGTTACCAGATATAATATGGCCAAGCCTTTCAGATAAATGCCTCCATATGAATTTAAAACAAGTATTGCTTATTGTTGGGTTCCTCCCTATTTTAGGGAATGGTGGAGAGCACAAAAAGTAGGGGCTTTCCAGTGTTTCCTGTGTTGGTAATATTTTCAGTGTGTTCTTAAATTCTGGGAAATATTGTCAGGTTGACATAGTTTGTAATAGAATGGGTCAATTAAATGTGGAATAAAAAAGTGGGCTTTTTCGTTCCATGGTCAGGTATTCTCATTTGTCACAAGATAATTTTGCTTTCCCTGGATACAATGGTGATTACTCTTAGACTTTGTGTTCAATGATCTCCAAATGGCAACACTCTTCCAGAAAATACATGATGAATATAATTGGCTAAATTATTCAGAGCAAAAACTTAACGTTCTCCAAGTCCATATTGGTTCTAATCTTCTACTCTACAATTTATGCCTCATTTTCAGTTCTCCACTTACCATCCTTATATAGATATATCTAGGTGACTTAAGAGAATTCTACACGTGGTAGCTATTTGTGAGAGCTGATCTGAGTTGAAAAAAAAAGGAAAGAATCAGACTAAAAGTTAGAGTACACTTATATAATTATACAGCATATCCAAAAACTCTTAGTAGATGTTTAAGCTAATAAAACTTAAACCTCCATTAATATTTTTGCTGTACCCCATATTCAAACCATTGAATATAAGAATCATAGCATAGTAAAAAAAAAATAAGAACTTAGAGTACAGGTAGGTCCTGATTAGTGTGGGAAATGGTCACATGTATTCAAATTTGCACTTTTCAAAGTTATAATTCTGTAAAATATTGTGATTGGTTTCAGTCCAATGAAAATATGTTGTGCACATTAAAAAAAATTTGTGACCACTTCATAATATTCATTATTCATACTAATCAGGACCTAGCTATCAATTCTTTAGAGGACTTTATTAACAGTCCTCTATAATTCCTTTATAAGTATATTATAGCCAAAGGAGCTATGAAAGCAGACAACTGGGTTTTTATTCCCTTCTGCTACTTATAAAGTGGATCCAAATCCTACCCTCCTGTAGTTACTAGCTGTGTACAAATCAACCAATCGATAAACATTTATTAAGTGTGCACTATGCGCCAGGCACTGTGCTAAGTGCTGGGAATACAAAATGAGCCAAAAGACAGTTGCTGCCCTCAAGGAGTTTACAATCTAGTGGGAGAGGCAATATGCACATGAATATATACAAAGCAAGATATATACAGGACAAAGAGGAAGTAATTAAGAAAAGGAAGATAATGGAATTAAGAGGGGTTAGGGAAGACTTCCTATAGAAAATGGGATTTTAATTGGGACTTATAGGAATCCAAGGAAGTCAGTAATCAGAGTGGAGAAGGGAGAATATTCCAGGCATAGGGGTGAGAGTGCCTGGAGCCAAGAGATAGGGTGTGTTGTTGGCCAGGAGGCCAGTGTCACTGGATCAAAGACTACCTGTCAAGGAGTGAGGTGTAAGAAGATTGGAAAGGTAGGAGGGTTGGGCAGGTTATAAAGGACTTTGAATGCCAAACAGAGCATTTAGTGAGGCAATAGAAGGCTAATGAAGATTACTGAGTGGAGTAGGGAGAAGGGGGCGGGACGGGTGACATGACTCTACCTGTATTTTAGGAAAATCACTTTAGTGACTGAATGGAGGATGGATTGGAGTGGGGAGAGGCTTGAGGCAGGCAAGCCCACCAATAGGCTATTGCCGAAGTCCAGGCATGAGGTGATGAGAAAGGTAAGTGAGAATGGTGGCAATGTAAGAAAAGAGAAGGAGGTGTGTTTGAGAGATACTGCAAAAGTGAAATCAATAGGTCTTGGCAACAGCTTGGATATGGGGTAGCAAAGAATCCAGGATGACTGCTAGACTGCTAGCCTACCCTCTACAGTAATAGGGAAAGTAGGAGGGGGAGGGTTTAAGGGAAAGATAATGAGTTCTGTTTTGGACATATTGAGTTTAAGATGTCTACTGAACATCCAATTTGAGATGTCTGCAGTTGGAGATGCAAAATTAGAAGCCCACAGAGAGATTGGGGCAGTATAGGTAGATTTGAGAATCATCAGCATAAAGATGGCAATTAAATCCATGGGAGCTGATGAATATACCAAGTGAAGTAGAATAGAAGGAAAAGAGAAGAGGGCCCAGGACAGAACTCCAAGGGATACCTATGGTTAGAAGGCACGATTCAGAGGAGGATCCAGCAAAGGAGACAGAGGATGAGGGGTCAGATAGGTGGGAAGAAAACTAGGAGAGAGTGGTATCACCAAAACATAGAAGAGAGCTTCAAGGAGAGAGTGATCAGTGGTGTCAAAGGCTGTAGAAAGGTTAAGGAGAATGAGAACTGAGAAAAGGCCATTGGATTTGGCAACTAAGAGATCATTAGTAACTTTGGAGAGAGCAATTTCTGTGTAATGTTAAGGTCAGAAACTAGATTGTCAGGGGTTAAGAAGAGAGTGAGAGGAGAGAAAATAGAGGCACATATCATAGACAGCTTTTTTGAGGAATTTAGCTACAAAAGGCAGAAGAATATAGGACAATAGTTAGAAGGGGTGGAAAGATCAAGTGAATGGGTTTTTTCAGGATAGAGGAGAAATGAGCATGTTTGTAAACAGTAGGAAATGAGTCAGCAGAGCGGGAGAGATTGAAAATAAATGCAGGAGTGTGGATGACACAGGAGGCAATATGTTGAAGGATATGAGATAGAATGAGATCACTTGAACAACCAGTCCTAGTTTCCACTGATATAAAATTTTCACCACCTAGTTCACAGTCCCATTGTGAAACTCACAGAGATAATATATGTAGGGTGCTTTGTAAAATGTGTCAGAAATGACAGCATCAGAAATTATCTTGCTAAGAAGCCTAGGAAATGAAACCTAGAGTTCTTCACTTGGGGTCCAGGAATCTCAGGGGGTCCAAGAACTTGAATGGAAAAATAAGTCACATCTTCATTTTCACCAACTTTTGGTTTCCTTTGTAATCCTGTGTATTTTATTTTATGCATTTAAAAATATTCTTCAAAGGGATCCATGGGCTTCATTCACCATAAGTTACCAAAGGGGTCCATGACACACACAAAAAAATTAAAAATCACTAGCTTAGAGATTCTCACCACTTTTTTTTTCCATTTTTGGAGAGCAGTTGTTGATAGAGGACTGCTCTTGGAATCAGGATGACCTAGTTTCAAGCTCATCCTCTGATATTGCCTCTCTGTGTGACTCTTGGCAAATCAAACAATCATCCAGTGCTTCAGGGAAACTTGCTAGCCTGTAAGTTGCAGAAAATAGCTAATCTCCATCAACAGAGGAAGTTTCCTTATGACTAATGAAATTACAAGTCTGGAGCAAGGGTTAGCACACAACATCCTGGCAAACTAAAAATGATTTTTATATATTAAAATAATATTTAACAGTCATTGATTATCACTTTTAATTTAATATTAAATATTTTAAATAACATTCAAAAATGTAAAAACCATTCTTAGCTATAGCCATACAAAACAGTCAGCAATATGGATTTGACCTGGGGATTGTAGTTTTACAGACCTATTACATATATGTATATCTGTGTGTATAAATACATATACACCCACATTCATAAGTATACATACACACTATATATTTGTGTGTGCATGCATATGTACAAACATATACACAAGCATATATGCACACATCTATACATGTAATATACAATACATACATACATCTATAAAATATATGTATACATATATACATATACAAGCATACATATACATATATTCATTTAAACAGACCTATTTTCTATTAAACAGTGCTCTAAACATGTCAAAATACATAAGATTGATCACTACCTTCATATATTGAGATAACAAATCATTAAAGTAAGATATTAATGTCATTTAAAATGCACTTTCTCTTTCTCCAATTGCAGCATAGAGAATCATTCAAAGATATTAAAAAGAAATTTAACAATTTGAAATTTAACTATTCCAAGAAAACAGAAAAGGCTCGCAATTTGAAAGCTCTCAAAAACCAAATTCAACAGGTGGATATTTATGCTGAAAAAATGCAGGTATGTATTAAACCTCATGAACTGTATAGTAATCTCTGTTGCTTCTCACTTTTCACTTCTAAAGTCCCAACCAACTATTGGCTTTGTGCATTGTAGGAAGCTAACATAGACAGGGTTTCAGTAACTCCTACTATTTTTAGTGCCCTTGGACTCCTCACCTAAGAGTTGGCTAACTACCATGAATCTAATGCTTCAAAAAGAAAAAAAAAAGAATTCTGGCTAATCTGAAAGAAAAAGCAATCTTAAAAAAATATATTGTTGTGATCATTAGGATTTTTAAAAGACAACAGAGAAGAATCTCTTCATTTTTTCTAGGTCATTGCTCTTAGGAATGTCTCTGTTATTATAAATAGAAATAATTTTTCTTATATTATCATAACTATAAATATAATCTTTTTCTTTTGCTCAGACTCTAAAGAAAAAAATGGAAAATTTTGAGAACAAAATATCCGATTCTTTATTAAATTATCCAAAAAATAAAACAACAATCCTTTTGGAATCAATAAAGGACTTGAAGAAACAAGTAGATGAATTTGGCAGAGTTGTGGAAGATTACAAGAAGAATTTGGATCTGACTGAGCATCTTCAGGAGTTGATGGAAGAGGTACTAACCCAAGCCTGAACAAGCTCAGAGTACAGAAAGAGTAATGAGGGGACCTAGTCTAATTGACCTGTTCATAACATGTTCATAACATTTGAGTAGATTGGGAGGCTAACCTTAAAGCAAATAATTCTCTATTTTACTAATTAAGTTTTTAGACATAGAAGAAATGCAAGGGTTGCAAATAGACTAATAGATATTTATAATCACCTTGGAATTTGGTAAAAAAAAAAAAAACCTTAGCAATTTGCATATATTTCTCAAACTTTGAAAGGATTCAGGTATTTCTTAATGTGTCCATATTGGTAGGAAGAATTATGCTGGGAATATTTTTGTGTTTAGCAATGGTGGTGAGATTTAGGCTACTCTATACTGGAATAGGAGATTGCTCTGTCATTTTTGTCAGTTTAGGGAAATCTGGATTTAGGACCCTGTTTATGATTTTCTACTAAGTGACTTACACAGGGTCACATAACTAGTAAGTGTTAGAGGGGAGATTTGAGCCCAGATGTACCCTACTTCAAGCCCAATTGCCTTTCCATGACACCGTAGATGGATGCATACATGCATGTATACACACAAGCACACACACACACACACACACACATATATATAATATACATTTATTTATATATATGCACGTGCATAAAATAAATTATGAATAAATGTTTTCATATTACATACCTAGGAAACTTTATACTATGAAAGCATTGTGTACAATATAATAGATTTACTATGACTAATGCACAGTGTGTGCATTTGTTGCCTTTAATACAATTAAATTCATCACTTAGACATTGCATTAAGGCTAATCATTCTTCTATATGTGAACCAAGTTGACAATTTTGTCACTGCTATGTGACATTTATTTAAAGCCTAGCTCCTAACAGGGCTGGGCTTTCCTTATCTCTCACCCAGCAAGAGGGCTTCTGTCCTGTGTCAGACACATTCCTTTCATCATTGTTATTTATTTTTAGTGATAAAACAGTTTCAATTCTCCTCTAAGCTCTGGAAATATGACCGGTATCTTTGCTGAATGATAGGTCAAAGTACTCCTCCCTAAATAAGCTCCCTTCTGTTCATGGGTTAAATACTATCCTTACAAGTGGTTTTATTTGGACACATTAAAATGTTTTATTGACAGTAGAGTATACATGTAACATTGACCATATTGATTGGTTTTAGTTGGTTCTTTTTTTTTTAAACTTTGGAGTCAATATTTGGGACTTTTTTTTAAAAGTGCTAAATACTAATTGTAAGTTAAGTTTACTCTTGTTGGCAGAAAGTAATTCTCTCTCAAGGTATTGTAGAGAAGATTCAGAAAAATCTAAGGAAGAAAAGCAGCCAGATCAGATCCTATATTTCTCTAATACCTTGTCTCTTTGTTGCCCAAATACAAAACAATGAGATCACTTTCTGCCATCTGTTTTATTATAATTTAGAAAATATTCCCAAATGAGCAAGGGAATTCTTGGAAATGCAAAATAGACCCTCCCATGACTACCATCATGAACTTCACACAGATGGCTCTTTTTTCAATCTCTTTGCTCTTTCCCATTAACTTAGTGTCAATTTTGGTGTGAAGAAGCCAGTGCTACAGTTGTTAGAGTTGGGAAATACTCCATGGAGTGCAAGACAAAGGAGGCTATAGACATTCTTCACAAGCAGTTCAATAAATTTATCATGCCTACGGTGCCTCAGCAAGAAGAGAGGATTGAGGAGATCACTGCCCTGTCTAAACGCTTATATGGTGAGAGCTCTTGGAACGCCTCTGGTGATGTGCTGTTGAACAAATCTGTACTGAGCTTAATCCTGTGGAAAATTGCATTCTTCAAGCCCTTGGGGCTCCTCACCATACTGACCTGCTCCAAGACTCGAGATGAGTCCCAAATCCAGCACAACTAAATGGAGGTGATCAGAGAGAGAAAATCCTGCAAAAAGAAGCTAGGAAATGCAAGCTTTAACCTCCTTCTTTCTCTAACCTGTTCTTCCCTGCTGCCTTCTCTTCACCCCATTCCATTGTTCATCTCTAGAACAACAAAACCAGAATAAAATAATAACCTTGGACAGTAAAAAATAATGGAAGATAAGAAATTGAGACATTTTAAAGAACAAAGCCAGGAATAAATAAACAAATAAAAATACCCCTTTACCCTTTAAATACACAGAGGGTTAAGGGAAACCACTCTTGAATCTCTGTGAAATGTTTTGAGCTCATTGTGGATGAAAGAAGAAAAAGACCGTCTTGTCTCTTTTCCGTGTGAGAGGCAACATGGTATCAGTTTGTAGAAAACTGACCATGAAACCAGAAAGATCTGGGTTCACATTCCAGCTGTGAGAGACCCCAGCAGTGTGACCTTGGGCAAGTCACTAAATGATATAGTCACTTCACTTGATATAGGTAACTCTTGTTGGGGTCTTGCCAATAGACCCATAATTAATAAAATGATTGGTAATTACCCTGAAATTTTGTCTCTCAAATTTTTCAAACATCACAATCCCTAACCCTATTAGTTGCAGAGAAGGTGAATAATACCAGGTTTGGTGGAATTTTCTTATCTGAGAATTCCCTCTTCCAATGAAATCTCAGGCCCAGTTCCCATCTCTGTCCCGTATTCCCTTACTTATCATTTAGCAAATATATAATCTCTTTTTTCTTCCTCTTGAGCAGGAAATATATCCTACCTGTCAAACTGAGAAATCCTGCCTTCCTAAAGCCCCTATTGAACAGTTCCCCTATCTGAGAGTCCGTCAGCTGGGCTTGGATAGTATGGTGATAAAGAACCTGATGAGTATGTTCTGTGAATTCTCTGGTATCATTCCTATGAGAGCAAGGATGGTATTCAGTGACCAGTCAAATCCATCTTGGGTGGGTACAGCACCAGGTGGCCACAGAATGCTAAATTTGATGACAGTTTCTGCCAAGGGGATATTTTCCCTTTGGAATATGATCAAGTATCTAGGAATGGGTAACCATGGTGGCTCACAACATCCTTCAGTCAACAATCATGCAGTTCCTTGTTGTTACATTACACCTCTGGTTTTTCCAGGTACTCCAGAGTAATAGAAAATAAAGCAAGAGCAAAAGTACCATAAAATAAAAATGAGGGAGACCAAAAAGAGCCAAGAATTTGTTATACTTAAGTATCCAAAGATTTCTCCCCCCATCCTCTTGTCACATTCTCAAAGGCAAAAATATCCATTTAGGAAACAAGTAAAATTATAGCTCAAATGGGGTCACGCAGGGTTAGACATGACTGAATAACAACAAAACATAGGGTTAAGAGTGAGGTGAAGATTTCTAGAACTCAGGGATCTAGAATATGTCTCATATGGGAGGTGGCACAAAAAAGAGCCTTGAAAGGAGGTGGGGTATTTCCAGAGGCTAAAATGAGGAAAGAGAATATTCCAGATGTGAAGAACAGCCCATACAAAATCAAGGAGACAACAGATGGAATACTGAGGTTAGAGAACAAGAAATCCTGTCAAACTAGGTGTCTTCAAGTCACTCAGTCTTTCCTTAAGATAGTAACATCCTGGATAGCACAGGTACTTTGTCAGGATAGCTGGCTATGATCCCTTAACATTCTAGTGATAGGATGGTTTTTTTTTTGGATTTTTTCACTGAAAGATTTACCTTTAAATAGTTTCCCTCCTTCCCACCCTTTGCCAGGTCTGGAAGAAGGGCAGAAATATGCTGAGAAAATAATAACAAAACACCAAGAGGTTCTGGAATCTGTTACTGAATTGTGCAGCTCACTAACGGAACTTGAACAGAAGCTGGAGGTAATTTCTTCTTGCCAGAATATGTCTTTTCAAGTTGTTTTTAATAAAAATGTGTTGATCAAATGTCTGGTACCAAGATGTGTTAATGAAAATTCTCAAGAGACAGAATGGGCACATTTGTTTCACAGCTTTCCAACATCATTATCTGGGTGTCTCCTATAATTAATTCTGTTTCTTTTCCATCATTGCAGAAGGGAAAAATATTACTGAGAACGAAGACTACGTAAAATTGTAGTGGTTACTCAGATTATATCTTTCCTGTGCCAATTTGAAGAAGAATAAATGCTTACTGTGAAAACTAAAGCAATTGCTAATGGTCATTAGGTTATATATATATATATATATATATATATATATATATATATATATATATGTATCCATTACTAGATGATGGATATGGATTTTCTTTATGTTGAGATCCCAGAGATAAAGCACATCTTCATTACATTTATAATCGATTAGATTTTCAGGAACTTTCAAGTCAAACATTACCATTCTTAATGGAATAAAAGTAATCATAGGCAATATTGAAAGAAAGCATATTTGACAGTATCTAGACGAAACTAATGCAACTGGTTGAAAATGAAAAATTCATTCTTTCATGAAAAGTTTCTGAAGGATCTTATAATTTGGCTCCACTCTGCTGATCTAGATTTCTCCCTCACTACTCCATAGCACATTCCAGTCCTAATCAGCCATACTCTTTCTTTTCCCAAGTCTTTGTTCATATTGAGCTCCCCATCTCCATCTTCTTCCATCCACTTTTCTACTTCCTATTTATCTTCAATGTGAAGTTGAAGTCTCATTTTCTACATGAAAGCTTCCTTATCCTCTCTAATCCCTAGAGGACTCTTCCTTCTCTAAAATACAGAGCAGTGGTCCAATGGATAGAATGCTAGACTTGAAATCAGGTAGATCTGAATTCAAATCCAGCCTCAAATGTTTTCTACCTGTAGAACCCAGGGCAAGTCACTTAACCTTTATTTGCTTCAGTTTCCTCAGTTGTAAAATGGGAATACTAATATCACCTACGTCCTCCCCTACCCTGGGCTATTGTGAAGATCATAATGAAAATAATATTTGTGAAGCACTTACCATGGTGCCGGGCCCTAAATAAATGCTTGTTTCCTTCCTCCTTCCAAGACCTTCAAATACTTCTAGAACTTAATCATCTGTTTTATGTCTTCTGTGTCACTTCAACTAGATTTCAAACTCATTTAGGTAGGCGGAACATTCTATACATCACCTCTCATGTTATCCATAGTACCATCTGTCACAGTGCTACACACATTAGTCATTACCTGGAAAGAGCTTACAATACAATTGAGGCAAGATATCCATACATGAAACATTAAAATAACAATATAACCTAGTATGTAAATAAATATCAGAAGGAAATATGTAGAAAATAAACTTTACAGCAGTTCAGAGGAGGGGAGAGATTAATGTAGGAGGTCTAGGCTTTGCCATTAATCAACTCTGATTTCAAGCAAGTAGCTTTACTTCCCTCAACTTGCCAGAACTGGACAAAATGACCTCTAAAATCCTTTTTAATTCAAACTCTCTATATCCATAGGTCATAGCGTCTAGAGTATGCCTTCTATCTTCCCTCACACTTTAGCCCCACTCCACATTCTATAACTGTTTCAGAGTCTCATGAGCTGCATCAAACCATTACTAAACTGCTTTTGTCATCCCTTTAAAGTGCCTCCACCATTGGCAGCCCACCTCTTCAGCAGTCTTCTACAGTGGACTCAATGATATCTCCTTTCTCTTTTTAAATGTTTTCCACTCATTTCTCTTATGACACCCATCTTCCTATTCTTTTCCACTTCAGTTAAACACTTTTATTACTCTACCCCTACTCTGCCTCCAACATTTCAGTTCCTCTGAATAGTTTTCATTTACAATGTTTCTGTTCTTCAAAGAAATCTCCTAAGGTACTTTTTTCCTCCCAATGGGTCTTTGAACTATCAACCTTTACTAAAAATGCCTCCCTCTCACAGGAATACTAAAGGGGAATAGGTGAGGAATAACTCACTTCCTCCTTGTAGAATCCCTAGCTTCCATCAGAACAATATCTTGCCACTGGACTCAGAAGGCTCTGGAGGAAAAAAATGAGGCTGGTGACTTTGCACGGCCCTGCGTCACTTAAATCCAATTCACTTGCCATGGCAGCACCTTCCTGATGTCATGGTCCTCTTTGAGAACGAAGGACAAACAACAACAGCTTAGATACTACCTCCTATATGAGGCCTTTCCCAGCCCCCCCCCTTTATTCCTGCCTTTAGTTATTAGAACACTCTTCTTGAAATTACTTTTTATTATTTTTCATAATCTTCATATTTGTATTTTTGAAATTGCTTTTTATTGTTTTTCATAAGCTTTGAATTTGTTTACTTATGTATAATAGAATAGAATAGAAGCTGCATGAGGACAGAGACCATTTTATTTTTTGTATCCCCATCACCTAGAATAGCAGTCTGCCCATAATAGGTACTTACTGAAGGTTAGATTTAATTGAATAACTTTGTAAGCTACGCAGGTGTACAACAGTCCTGTGCAGCATATGTTTTACTGCTAAAAGGCCAAAAAATTATATGGATCATCTAAAAATGTGTATTTGCTCAACTGTGGAAGACGAAGATAATCTTTTCTCGGCCTAGGCTTTCTCTAATAACCACTTTGCGTAAAAGAGAGATGCTTTAAAGAGAAATGCAGTTTGGGATGATTTTATTGAGTTTTGCAACTCATTTACCAATAGAGCCAGCAAGACTCAAGCAGGGAATCAACAAGGAAATTATGGATAAAGACAAGACAAAAGCGAAGGAAACAGAGAGTCGTTAATGGCTTGATGTCTTTTTTTTCTCCCAAGTAAATTCATTATACATTGCCAAAAGATACATGTGTATTGTTACTTGAGCAACTGTCTCAGTACAAATATATTTTATTCTTCTCTTTCCCGGGCTTTTCTTCCATTCTCCTTTTCTTTTACTAAACCCCATTTCCCTCTTCTCAGAGGTTTTATCTTCAGAAACTTACTGTTAAACGAGGAGGCTGGAATATTAGTCAAAGGTAGTAAAGGTGCTCAAGGTCGCTTCTTCACACAATCCTCTCCACCTATTTTTCTCCCTCAGTGCCTCTCCACCCTAATTTTTTTCTCTTTCTCCTTGTGTTCTCTCCCTAATCTTTTGTTGTTATTGTTTTTATCCTACATGTCAGAGAACCTTACTAAACCTGATGAACAAAATTCATGAACGTTCTTTTATAATATACTGCTCTTCACTTAGAGGGTCCTGTTACCAGAAGACCAATATAATCTTCAGAAATTAACCTCCAGTTTTACCTCTGAGATAATTTTCCTTGCATATGTAGCAGAAAATTCACTTTGCCTCCATACAAGAGCAGAAAAGATAGATTCAATGATGTAGTAAGAGAAGTGCGGCTAAGTAGCATAAAGATGAATGTGAACATGTGAACAAATATAAATCTCAAAGGAAAAACACAGCTAAATGTAAGAATTTTTTCCTGTGGAAGAAAATTCAGTGTAAAAAAGTAAGAAAAAAAAATGTGTCAACAAATCTCTTTTTTTTTTTCTCATTTATCATATAGCCAGCTAGGTAGTGTAATGGATAAACTGTTGGATACGGAGTCAAGAAGACTTGAGTTCAAATTTGGCTTCAGACACCAGCTGTGTGACCCTGGACAAGTCACCTAACTTCTATCTGCCTCAGTTTCTTCATCTGTAAAATAGGAGTAATAATACCTACCTCCACGGGTAATTGTGAGGATAAAATGAAATAATATTTATTAAGTGCTTTGCAGTTTCATGGCACAGTGGACAGAGCATCAAGCCTGGAGTCAGAAAGATCTGAGTTCAAATCTGGCCTCAAACACTTACTAGCTATGAGACCCTGGGCAAGTCACTTCACCCTGTTTGCCTCAGTTTCCTCATCTGTAAAATCATCTGGAGAAGGAAATGGCAAACGACTCTAGTATCTTTGCCAAGAAAACCCCAAATGGGATCACAAAGAGTCTGACGCAACTGAAACTACCGAACAATTGCAAACCTTAAAGCACGGTTATTCTATGCATTCCCCACCCCCACACACAACCCATTCAGTTTACATAAAGAGGTCACTGGCACAGCGGAAACAGCAGTGACTTTGGAGTCAGAGGACTGAAGTCCAAGTCCTGCTTACGATGCTTATGATTGAATGACCTTAGGCAAGTCACTTACCCTCCAAGGGCCTCAATTTCTCATTTGTAATAAGAGAAGGCAGGACCAGACGGCCTCTGAGATCCCTTCCAATTCTATAAGGAAGGTTCGATTAAAACACGGAAAAGCTTACGAAAAGCAAATCTATCACCTTTTATAAATAGCAAAGACTTCAAAATTAGAGCAGAGAGTCAGTGCCTATATCCCATTCTTAACGACTCGCGCTATATTCAGCTCTGTGCTTTTGGGTGGCCTTCCTTTCCAGTGAGCGTGAAACGCAAAGTCCACATGCGCTCTAGCGGCCAATCACTTTTTCTCAAGCTCTCTTTTGTTACCAACAGGCTTCTCCAGGTCCGGAAGCTCTAAAAGATTCCCATTTATCGTCATTAGAAGTCACTTTTACAATTGGGGAAAAAAGTTGTCCTGTTATTAAAATTCACAGAATTTCTAGGAATGTCCTCCCAGGTAATTTTCTCCCCATGCGGTGACATTACCTAGCATGATTATGAGCCTATAAGGCTAATGGCGTCATGCCGGGTCTATATTCACCTAGCCATATTACAGAGAATAGAAAGGATACCTCCTGTTGCTATTATGTGATCTAAATAACAGAAAATAATACTAATTTTATTGTGAAATTATGGTAAATAATATACCATTACTATGGCATAATGGATAGAGAACTGGCATTGGAACCAGGAAGACCTGGGTCCAAGCCCGGCCTGTGACTCATACAAGCTGTATGGGGGGGATCATTTAGCGTCTCAATCCCCAGGTAATT